GGTTCATGTTAGACGTGTAAAAGCAACAGCAGAAAAAGGAAATAAGCCATTTATTTCAGCTCCAGGAATAATAACTGAGCAGCTGAAGCTGCTGAGACTAATCTCAGCCAATTTCTCCCCTTGGGCAGATCATGATATGTGAGCCAATTTCTAAAATGACATAATAAAGACCTCAGCATGAGCGAGTTTGCCTTGCTTGGATGCTTTCCTGCTGTTGCATTAATGATAGTGTCTAGACTGATAAATTTGAGAAAGCAGAGCTGCATTTTAATAGCTTCCGAGCAGGAAACTTTGAAATGCACCCTGAAAAGGTGGTTTTTTTGCTTGCAATGCCTCTCCCATGGCACAACTGATCACAGCGCCCCTAAAACCTGAACAGACTGTTACAGGTGAAATCTGAAAGTGGAGCTGTAAGAACTCAGCAGGTTAGGCCAGTACTAGCAGAGAGAAACCGAGTGAATGTTTCTGGCTGACCCAAAAGATGTTAAATCTCCTCTTCCCTTCACAGGTGCTGCCAGATGGCTTTATGCATGGGAATTCATGTCTCACCAACTTGATTGAGTTTTTTGAAGAAGTAACGAAGAGGATTGATGAGGGCAGAGTGGTGGACGTGATCTATATGGACTTCAGTAAGGCATTCGACCAGGTTCCTCATGCTAGACTGGTTAGCAAGCTTAGATCACATGGAATACAGGGATAACTAGCCATTTGGATACAGAACTGGCTCAAAGGTAGAAGACAACGTGGTAGTGGAGGGTTGCTTTTCAGACTGGAGGCCTGTGACCAGTGGTGTGCCACAAGGATCGATGCTGGGTCTGCTGCATTTCATCATTTATATAAATGATTTGGATGTGAACATACAAGGTACGGTTGGTAAGTTTGCAGAAGACACTAAAATTGGTGGTGTAGTGGACAGCGAAGAAGGTTACCTCAGAGTACAATGGGATCTTGACCAGATGGGCCAATGTACCAGGAGTGGCAGATGGAGTTTAATTTAGATAAATGTGAGGTGCTGCATTTTGGAAAGGCAAATCAGAGCAGGACTTAATACACCTAGTGGTAAGGTCTTGGGGAGTGTTACTGAACACAGAAACCTTGGAGTGCAGGTTCATAGTTCCTTGAAAGTGGAGTCGCAGGTAGATGGGATAGTGAAGGCGGTGTTTGGTATGCTTGCCTTTATCAGTAGTTGCATTGAGTACAGGGGTTGGGAGGTCATGTTGTGGCTGTACAGGACATTGGTTAGGCCACTTTTGGAATACTGTGTTCAATTTTGGTCACCCTGCTACAGGAAGAATGTTGTGAAACTTGAAAGATTTACGAGGATGTTGCCAGGGTTGGAGGGTTTGAACTAAAGGGAGAGGCTGAATAGACTGGGGCTGTTTTCCCTGGAGCATCGGAGGCTGAGGGGTGACCTTATAGAAGTTTATAAAATTATGAGAGGCATGGTTAGGGTAAATTGACAAGGTCTTTGCCCTGGGGTGGGGGAGTCCAAAACTACAGGGCGTAGGTTTAAGGTGAGAGGGGAAAGATTTAAAGTGGAACTGAGGGGTAACATTTTCACACAGAGGGTATGGAATGAGCTGCCAGAGGAAGTGGTGGAAGCTGGTACACTTACAACATTTAGAAGGCATCTGGATGGGTGTATGAATAGGAAGGGTTTAAAGGGATATGGGCCAAACGCTAGCAAATGGGACTAGATTTATCTAGGATATCTGGTCAGCATGGACGAGTTGGACTGAAGGGTCTGTTTTCGTGCGGTACAGCTCCATGACTCCATGACCTGGTGAGCATTTCCCACATTCCAGACTGGTTTCCTGCCTACTTTTATCTTCAATAAGGGAATGAAGCTGAAGTTTCAGTCCTTGCCAGACTGAGAATGGGGACTGGATGCTGCCCAGTATGCCAGTTTTCTGAGCTCCTTCCTGGCAGTGGGCATTTTTGTCAAGGTGTGATTTAAACTGGCAGGGGCTAAGAACCCACGCCCTTGGGTCAGACCACAGTCAGTTATTCTCACCAGCAGCTCTGTTCAGGGCCCTGGACGGGGTGGGGGTTCCCTGACGTGGTGGAGCATGTGGTCTAGCTGGTGGGTACTAAGGCTTGGTGCTGGGCCATAATCTGGATGGGCCTGTGGGCCTGGATGTGGGTGTAACCAAAGACCTGCTTGTAGTGGGATTCCACCCCACTCTCTTCGCCCACGACCTGGTTGCCAAATCTGTCTTTCATCTGGAGTCTTAAAAAGAAGGTTAGAGAGGGGACACCATGTTGAGGCACTCCCTCAATTTCTCACCCTCTCCTGCGTCCACCAAGCTGGAAGGCCCCGTTTGCCCATCCCCACCCCGGCTGCCTGCCACATGGAACCCATCTCTACGTCAATTTACTCCTCTGTGAAAATCCCCACAGATGGGCCTTAATCCATCTGGGGTCGGGTTCAGTACCTGGAAGTTGTCCTACCCGCTTCCCCAGTTCCCTGCCTTGGAGGATACACTCAACCCAGAGTGATTGCTTCTGTTCCTGCCCTGGACTCTCTCCTTGCTTGGGAGCCCAGTAACAGAACGCATTCCAAGTTGAGACACAAGACCCTGGGTGCAGGAAACACTGTCACTACACTGTTGGGTTGGCCTGGTTTCATTGAAGGCTGAGCTAGATTCAGGCTGTACTGGCACCAGAACAGACTAAGTGTGAAAATCTCAGTATAACAAGCAAGTCCTACTTGCCTCAAACAATACATCTGAACAGGCCGATCAAAAATAGCTAGAAATGTGGGTTAGCACTGTTGCATTAATAGTTGCAAGTTTCAGATTAATGGATTCATGACTCTGGGGTCAGATTTTCTGAAATCCAACGTTAGCTCAATAATCAGATTCATCTTTGCATCTGCAAACACAAATCATAAAAAGTCAGTCTTTCCTCTCTTCTCCAAGGTAGAAACCTATAAAATCATCCGACTTTTCCCCTTACCTCAGTTTTTGATGGGTACTTTCTTTGGAAATATTTTCAACTGCCCTTAGAAGATGGGCTTCTGTGGCAAGAAATTGATTCCATTATTCTAACATCTCCATCGGGACATAGGTTCCTGGACAATGTGTATGCCATTGCTGAGGTGGCAGAATTCAAAACAGCGGACCCTGAGTATATTTAACATCAACGCAGAAATTGGGGGAATAATTTACAAACATATGAGTTAGGAACAGGACGAAGCCACTTGGCTCTTCAAGCTCACTCTGCAATTCAATAAGATCACGGCTGATTGTAGCTTTCAACCTGATTCAGCTCAGATCTGCATCTCAACCTGTCCACACGTCCCACACTGGACATTCTACAGCAGTGGTACAACACACTCAGAGCTCCCAGCAAACGGGTAAACACGCAGACAGCTGGACCAATGATCGAGAGAATTTGAATGCAAATCTCACCATGATTGTTTGAGAATTTGAATTCTGTTCAGCAAATCTGAAACAAAAAAGCCACTATCAGTAAAGGTCCTGGTGAAGTGGTTAGATCTGCTTCACAATCCAGCAGATTTACCAATGTCCAATATATTTGCCTTCCTTTACCTGGTCTGGCCTATGTAGAACTTCAGCCCACATCAACGCAGTCAACATTGAAGAGCCCTCTGTAAGTGCCCTCGCAAGTTGTTCAGTTATATATCACCTGCTCGGAAAGTAGGGATGAACAACTATTGTAGATGGGGCAGAATGCTCAAACATAGAGACTGAATGTTTGAAAATGAG